TCTAAGAAAACAATATACATAATCACAATGACAATGGGCAGGCCGCATGTGCAAGATAAAATGTTTAAAACTCAGGGTGAGATAGAAGAGGAGCAGGTTATTTGCGAAGGAGAGCTCATAAAACGAGGTTGAACCAAACTTTCCCACAAGGGGGGGGGGTGTGTACTCCAGTGACAAAACGTTGAGGGGAGCAATAGTGTGAGGTTGTGTGCCTACTCACCAAAGGTGCAGCGGAAAAGCCAGGTTTTAAGGTTCTTTTTAAAGGTTTCTAAGGTGGGGGCTTTCCTAATATCTGCAGGTAAAGAGTTTCAGACGGGGGGGCCACAGAGGAGAAGGCTCTCTCCCTTGTACCCACTAGACGAGCCTGTGAAACTGGCAGAGATGAAAGGAGGGCTTCCCCTGAAGATCGAAGGGCCCGGGTTGGTTCATGGAGGGAGATACGGTCACGAAGTACCACAGCAATAGTGTGCTGTGACATCTAAAAGACACAAGGTCCTATGGTATACATTTTGTGACTGTTGTGGCATCTCACAGAGTGGGTTTATGCCATTCTGCAGTTATATTTAAGTTGCAAAGGGATTCCTTGTTTATTTTACGACTACACACTATTTCACGGCAATTTTCCTCCATAATGAAAGGAAAGGAAAGACAGCTTTTTAAAAACGCAAGATATAACAGAAAACTGGCACAGAAGTATGTCTGACTATAAATAGCTAGTCCTCCCACTGTCGTCACTGGTATGATGTACAAGAGATAGCTGCTGGCTGCACCCAAAGGCAAAAAAAATTCATTTTCTTTGTTTTTGCTTGCTCACGTCATATACAATGCTCTCCATTCGTTTCCCAAATGCTTAAGGCTAATTTAGGTACTGCAACATGTCAAAGGAAACCCTCAAAAAAGAAGCAACGTCACCAATCTATCACAATCCTTAGATCTGTCAGTAAGGTAACTGGTCACAGCCAATTCAGAAATAGTCAAAGGCAATCCTTCCAGCCGGAAGATTTTTTTTTAAGGTCACAACCCAAACGCTGGCTTAGATCTGTAGAAAAAGTGAGCAGTAATTTAAACAATAACTTCATGCCTTGGTGGAAAGAGACCTATGGGCCTTCGATGAGAGTGAATTTGAGGAAAAAGCTACAATTTCAAGACTGTTAGCCACTCAATGATAAAAGTAGCTAGAGATAAAACTGGCAGAGTTCCTGGTGGACGTCATGGAAGCTTTGGCTCTATGAAAACCGTGACCACTAAGCAAATCATATCACAAAAAAGTACATTCTACTGTTGTACAAGGTATAAAAGTAAGGGACTGACTGTTAAGGATTATTTGGAAATCTGTTCATTTCCAATAAAGAAAGGATATTGCAGAATACTGCAGGCAGCTTAAGGAAAGATAACAACCAAGAGCATGGAAGATTTTTTTTCCTGCGACGAGAATGATGTTTAAAAGAAATTGCTTGTTAGCAGCATCCGTATATAAAGACGGCAAGATCTAAAGTTCATGTTTCCTCTGTCAGCAGTGAGGCCAAAGTCTCTAATCACAAACTACAAACCAGGACTGGATAAAATATAAGCATATACAGATGTCTATGGAGGAGAGTATAAATGAGCATCCCATTAGTCTTCGATGCTTCAACAATCCAATTATTGGCTGGCATCCCCCTTTTCATTCCTTCCCAGAACATCTATCCACAGTTACGGATACTCATCACATCTTATCATCACATTTTTTGCCCCCTGCCTACCCTCTTGTTCTATTTCTGCTGCCAGACTTTAGACTTTAAGCTCCTGTTGGCAGGGGCCAATGGCACTACAGGTTTTATTATAATAGCACAATACTAAATCCTCAATATGGGTAATCATTGTTTATTTGTTTACTATATTTATATCCCATCTTTCCCGACCCTGAAGGGGACTCAAGGCAGCTTACCACACAGGCAACAATTCAATGCCTTAAAAAACAATGTAAAATTAAAATAAACATTTAAATTAAAATTAAAATCAAGGTTAAAATACATTAAAACATTTAAAAAACATTACAATTACTACTATAAACCACATGATTCGCAATCATAATCAAGGCCATTCTGGTAGTCATTGTGAAAGGGTCTTTGAGTGAAATTAGCAATAGCTAAGCAAGGGGCTTTAAATGAAATTAGCAGCAGGGAAGAAAATGTTTTAAAAACAAGAGGTGACATGTAGAGGTCATACAAAGTTCGAGCTTACATAGGAAGCTGGGTTGTGGTTAAGCGCAAAGTCTGCAGGCGCAAGAAGGTACTTTCCATCAAAAGGTCGGGGGGGGGAGGGTTGGAAAGAGAGTACTTGCCATGACCAAAAACCCCTTATATTACCTGAGTATAAACATTTGCAAAAGCCGAGGAGGTGCGTGGCAGTCTGTGGAAGCACTTACAGAAGTGCTGTCTGTTCGCCTCATGCTGATCAGCTTGAATAAACGATGCCTTACCTGAACCTATTGGACTATCGCACCCTAAACCCGTGATCCCTTACAATTACACATAATATATTATATTATGTGCAATGACTACCACAATGGCCTTGATTATGACTGCGAATAGTGTGGTTTATAGTAGTAATTGTATGTATATACAATATATTACATTACATAATATAATGCAATGTAATATATTGTACATACATATAGTATTTACAATATTATAATGTAATACAATATACTACTACTACTAATAATAATATTATAATTATATATATTATATTATATGTTATATTACTAATATTACAATATAATGGTATAGTACAATATAGTAATATATAATACTGATATTGTACTATGCTAATAATATAATATATTGTATGTATATATATCTTGTAAGCCGCTCTGAGTCCCCTTTGGGGTGAGACGGGCGGCATATAAATGTCGTAAATAAATAAAATAATACTAAATCCATCTATTTCACTATATTGTCCTCCAAAGGCTTGATCCCAAAGCCACATTTTCACTCTCTTTCTGAAGGCCAGGAGGAAAGGGTCTGATCTAATATCGCTGGAGAAAGAGTTCCACAGCTGAGGAGCCACCACTGAGAAGGCCCTGTCTCTCATTCCCACCAATCGTGCCTGTGAAGGAGGCGGGACCAAGAGCAGGGCCTTCCCAGATTATCTTAATCTCCAAGATGGTTCATGGGGGAGATGCATTCAGACAGATAAGCTGGGATGGAACCATTTAGGGCTTTATAGGCCAAAGCCAGTAGCAGACTGGTATCCAGTTCAGCTCACGTAACAAGGGGATGGTATGCTCCCTGTACGCCACTCCAGTGAGCAATCTGGCTGTCGCCCATTGGACCATTTGGAGATTCTGAACAGTCTTCAAAGACAACCCTATATAGAGCATGTTGCAGTAGTCTATTTGGGATGTAACCAGAGTATGGACTACCAACTGAATTAATGCTTCAGGTGCATTAATTCAACAGGTATCGAGCCCAGGGGACCGGGACAAAGATGGGTGCATTGTGTAATTCTCAGAGCAGTCAGCAGATGCTAAAAGCAAATCAATACAGTTACAAATGTTAGTTTAAAAACAGATTAATAATAGATATACATTGCATCAAACTCAAGAAGTGAATATCTGACTGAGCAGAAGGACTTTGCTATATGGAGAAACAGAGTCAAAGTAGGTACCAGCCTAACCTCTTAGGGACAGGAATTCTAGGTTGCGTCTACACTGTCATGGCTTAATGATATGGAAATCTGAAATTTGTAGTTTGTTGAGAACCAGCACTCTGGCACAGAAGGCTAAAGATCCTCTAAAACAACAACTCCCACGATTCTATAGCATCAAACCTTGGCAGTTAAAGTGGTGTCAAACTGCATTAATTCTATATTATCCTCCAAAGGCTTGATCCCAAAGCCACATTTTCACTCTCTTTCTGAAGGCCAGGAGGAAAGGGTCTGATCTAATATCGCTGGAGAAAGAGTTCCACAGCTGAGGAGCTACCACTGAGAAGGCCCTGTCTCTCAGTATAAACCACCAAAACAATCCTGTTTCTCTCTGCCACCCCCCATCCATGCTCTACCCCAGTTGGGACACACAGAAAGGGCTGTGGAGAGTGTAACATGACCACCAGATAGCACTTGGAAGAATATAATAAATTATGAACAGGTAACAAAGGAGCCACCTGTGCAATACATTACCTTTCTGTCTCTGCTTCCAGTAATAAAGTACTTGCTATCTGCCGTCCAGTCACAGGACCAAATGATGCGACTGTGCCCAGCTACGTTAGGGTCAGTGCAAGCAAAAAGGTAAAAAGTTGGTTCTGAAATGATAAATATAAATACTCTTCACACATTTGTTACGGAAATTGCAATGTTAAAGTAATTTAGAGAGAGCTTTCCAAACTATGTCTCATAGGCTGTAGGGTGTGTCACGCAAACATAATGAGGAGCTATATGAAACAAATTGAATCCAGCGAGTGGGGTGAGCTCCCACTGTTAGGCCCAGCTTCTGCTGACTGAAGAGTTCAAAAACATGCAAATGTGAGTAGATCAATAGGTACCACTCCGGTGGGAAGGTAAAGGCACTCCATGCAGTCATGCTGGCCACATGACCTTGGAGTTGTCTACAGACAATGCCAGCTCTTCAGCTTAGAATTGAAGATGGGCACCACCTCCCAGAGTTGAGCACGACTAGATTTAATGTCAAGGGGAAACCTTTACCTTTTACCTTATTCCACTTTAATTGCCATTACTCCTTTCTAAATGCCATTCCCTTCTCCCTTCAACAGAAATCCCATAATTTTAGAAGATAAAACCATGGTGATTCAAGTAGAAACATGTTACTATGAATGTATACTATGAAATGATTTACAGTCTTCAGCAAGGATGTTTTCTTTCTCCTTTTCAGTGCAAATTCCCAACTTTCTTCCCTTGCCTTAATCATAATTTAATGTTACAGCTATGTGGACATAAATCATGCTTACTGCTATCATTTGATCAACATTTGGAAGAATATGCAAAGCTTGAATAAAAAGGAGCCAATCTTTCCAATGGTAAATAACAAACTTCTTGCAGAGAGCCAGCATTGCCTTTTTTGCTAGTGTAATGAAATAATCAATGGTGTGGCCTTGAGAATAAGGACACCCCTAGTTCAAAATTCTCCTGAACTCAGTAATATTACCTCTGGCTAACCCGCTCTGCATCCTATCTGCAATCTGTGGGTAATAATATTCACTGATCATACAGAATTGTAAAAATCATGTTCCAGGTGTTGTATAAATGCATATTATTATGAGTTCTGCCTCAGGCACAGGTACTGCTCTGGCATTTTCACGTTTGCATCTTGTTTTTATTTTTATGTATGGTACTGGGAGACACATCAAGTACAGTACATTGGTTGAGAAAACAGAACCCTCATGGTTTCCAGGTGCTTCCAACCAGAATAAATTTGACAAGACTTGATTTCTGACAAACTCTTTCCATGTGTACATGCAGCCAAAATTGATTTGTTGAAGCTGGAATTTCTACATTATCTGGGAGGGCATCCCAGAGGCTTTAGGCAAATTTACCTTATTTTCTGGCATACTAGACGATTTTTAACTCTGGAAAATCCTTGCTGAGCTTGGGGGTCGTCTAGTACGCCGGGTATAAAAAATCACTTCCTGTTTTGGGTCCAGGTGAGAGAGGGGGGCAGCTGCCCTGCGCTGGAGCAGGCCGCCCAAAGCAGCAGCTGCTGCGCTCCTCCAGCGCTGATTGTCTCCCGCTGCTAGGCTTTAGCTTCACTGAGGGGCTCTTCCACTCTGTCCCCACTTTGGCTGTCCGTGCAGCAGCGGAGGGGGCGATATACTCGCCGGATGGCTGCGTTGCCTCCTTCTCCTCCGCCACCGCACGGACAGCCAAGGCAGGCCTGGAGTGGAAGAGCACCTCGGTGAAACTGAATCTCAGCAGCGGGAGACAAGTGGCACCAGAGGGCAGCCCTCAGGTTCCGCTTGTCTCCCGCTGCCAGGCTTCAGCTTCACCGAGGGGCTCCGCCTGGGCTGTCAATGCGGCGGCGGAGGAGGAGGAGACATGGTCAGCCGGCGAGTATATCACCTCCTCCTCCGCCACTGTATGGACAGCCAAGGTGGGCATAGAGTAGAAGAAGAACACCAGCGGGAGACAAGCAGCGCTGGTGGAGCACAGCAGCTGCTGATGCTTTGGGCGCCCTGCTCCAGCACAGGGCAGCTGCCCACCTCCCTTGCCTGTTAGGAGCCTCCATCTTGTTTTGGATCCAAAACAGGAAGTGATGTTTTGGATGCAAAACAGGAAATGATGAGCATGGCGGTTGGCTGGCTGTGGCGGGGCCTGACTGCCAGTGGAGGGGAGGCCACTTCTATGGAGCCAAGAAGCCGCCTCAAAGCCCAGGAAAGGAGGCTTTGGGGCCTGAAGGAGCTGGCAAGAGGGCCCATCAAATAGGGCAAGTATATCCAAAAATTGAAATTTTATATTGAAAAGTTGGGGGGTCGTCTTATGCACCCAGTCGCCTAGTATGCCGGAAAATACGGTAGTATTAAAAAATAATAAAAGAATTCAGCTGGAACACTTGACTAGCCACCACATTTCAGCTGGGAAATTCTAGCAGTTGTAGTCCAAAAAGGTAACAACTCCAGATTCTGCAAGGAAAGGAAAGAAAAGAAAAGAAAAGAAAAGAAAAAGAAAAAGAAAATGTGCCAGCCATGGAGGCAGTATATTGTCAACAGGAGTGGAAATTTAAAAGTCAGAATATGGATGGAGCAACACTGATGAGAGGGCAACTGCTCTGGTTCTTCTCTGCTTCTAGCATCTCTGATAGGTCTATTCTATCCATGTAGAATTTCTTTCTATGTAGACATTTCAGTTAGGATAAAATAGGCTACAATGAAATTTCCTCTTACTACCTAGGGAGGGATTTTAGTACAAAAGGAAAATAGACTATACATCAGTCAATTTTAACCATTTCATCAAATGACTATTGGACTATGACTCTAAAATCAGATTTTAATTCCCTGATCAGCCACAGAATCCCATTTGATGGCTTTGGGCAGGTCTCATTCTCTCTCAGTCTTAGAGGAAAGTAAAGGCAAACACCCTCTAAACCAGTGGTTCCCAACCTTTTTTTGACCAGGAACCACTTGACCAGGGATCACTTTGATCAGGGACCACTCTCCAACATTAGTACCAATAGGGTTACAAATCAGTTTTTGGTCATTCGGTTTGGTTATTTGGGGTGCTGATTCAGAAAATTGCATTGGTTAGACCAATCAGCTCTAGCTTCTGATACAGAATATATGCCATCCAGTAGTCACCATCTACTCGCCTACAAAAATCCTACAGGCCTACAGGCGGTGCCGGCACGACCGCCTGTTATAATCCAGTTCAAAGCAAATAATATGGAAGAAAAAAAAATAAGAAAAAGAAAAAAAACTCAACTCTGGTTTTTTTGGGGGGGTTTTTTGCACATCCCCCTGCCATTCATATTCTGGATTATATAGTCGTGCAGAAGGGCCCTAAACTTCCCTCTACACTGCGTGGCCGAGAGTGGAGTGAGGAGGTCGGCGGGAGAAGTCACCCCGGCCTCTCTTGCCCCGCCCGCATGGATGGCCCTTCCTGCCGCCACCGCCCAGTCAGTCCAATCTTGAGAAGGAGCCGGGGGCGGGGACAGCTCAGCTGGCCACCACCCCCACCAGTCTCCCTGATAACGGGGCCTGCTGCTCCTCCTCCTCTTCCTCCCCCCTTGCCCTCGGCATCTCCGAGCGGCGCAGCCTGAGGAGGAGGAAGAGAAAGGGACGGAGGATGGGGAGACTGGCGGGGGTAATGGCCAGCTGAGCTGTCCCCGCCCCTGGCTCCCTCTCAACCCTGGAGTAACGGGGGGCGCTTGCGGTGGGAGGGGCCATCCACAGGGGCGGGGCAAGAGCAGCCGGGGCAAGAGCAGCAGGCTGCACTGCTCGGCGGGGACGAGGAGGAAGAGGGACCATGCTGCTGCTGCTGGTGGTGGAGGCGGAGAAGGAGGAGGATGGGGAGGAGTAGGAGCGGCAGGCTTCGATACCACCAGCAGCAGGGTTCCTCTGGCCTCTGCTAGCTTCCCGCGTCCCTCGCTCTCGGCACCCCTGGCAAAATAAAGTGTACCGCAACGGCTTACTTTGCGTAATGCTTGAACTACAACTCCCAGAATTAAAAGACAATTCATTTTATAAGTCACAACAGTCATTTTCTTCCAGTAATATCAATTCCAGTATATTACCTGATTCTGTTGGATCGATATCTTTACATTTCCAGAGTGACCATTTTCTGTCTCTTGAAACTGCTAGTAAGAATTCATCATTGGGGGAAAAAGAAAGCTGTGTCACCGTCAGATTGTGGAAAGGTAAGCTCTGCAGCTGCTTCCAAGTTCGAGTGCTCCACAAAATAATGGCTGCATGTTCTTTCTTAGAAGCCTGTAAAATGGAGAACAATAAAAACTGTGAATGAGCAAAGGCAACCTTGAAAAACAACTATACGGACAGTAAAATCTGAGTGGTATAATGGTTGGAGGAAAGGTGAATGGGCTCTGAACTTTTTTTAATGAAAAAACACTTTGTCTGCAGGAATTTTGTTTCTTTTTCTTTGCATTTGAAAATAACATTGCATTTATACAAATAATAGAAACCAGTGATGTGTCACAAGCCCTAAAATGCATTCAGAGGCGGCCCTAGGTAATTTTCAACAGTAAGCAAACAGTATTTTGCCCCCCCCCCCCAACCAATCACTGATATATATTTTCTGTTCGTCATGGGAGTTCTGTGTGCCATATTTGGTTCAATTCCATCATTGGTGGAGTTCAGAATGCTCTTTGATTTTAGGTGAACTATACATCCCAGTAACTACAACTCGCATATGTCAAGGTCTATTTTCCCCCAAGAGCGCCTCAAGAGCGCCCCTGGGCAAAATCAACTATACTGCGAATGCTTACTTTGCGTAATGGGTTGAGCCGCCCCTGTGCAGGTTGCAGCCATTTCTATTTTTCCCAACATTATGTCTAGTCATGTCCGTTTCTAAGCCAAAGAGCCAGTATTGTCTATAGACACCTCCAAGGTCATGTGGCCAGAATGACTGCATGGAGTATAGAAGTGGTACCTACAACAACAACAACAACAACACACTTTATTTATATTCTGCCCTTCTCCCCTAGAGGACTCAGAGCGGATTACAGCATTTACACCAGACATAGGCAAACATTCAATGCTTTACAATCACATACAATGAGACACACAAACACAGACAAGGCAATGCTTTTCCTTTTTCATTTTCGGGAAACTGGTTGTTTGAGCAAGCATTTGAAAATGCAAGGTAAAAGACATAGGAATTGGAACAACTGGACGAAGAGATGGGGTAATGTTTTTTATTAAGAGATGCAAATGATCTATGTTTTAATATTCTTGTTATGGTTTTATATTATGTATTAATGTTTTTAAATGTTTTATGGTGTTTTTGGACATCGAATCATCGAGTCACCTGAGGGCTGAGAAGGGCGGTATACAAATACAGTAAATAAATAAAATAAAATTAGTCTCTGGAGAAGGGGTATTGAGGGTGTTTGCAGAATTCTCTGAAGCATCTAGCTACATTCTGCTTTTTACATTTACATTTTTAGTTTAATCCAGAGGTCAGGAAAAGAAATGGTCCACCTAGACCATGCTTTTACAGCCCCTTACATCTCCTGTAGGTCCCTCAAAAGGCACCATCTCTTTTTATTGCTGGGGTTTAGGAAAGTTTTCACCCAAAGAAATTCTACCAAATGTGCAAATATGCATAAAAGCACCTTCATCCATCACAGATTGTGCCATCCCCCAAAACTCCTGCTCCTAATGTCTCTATTTTCAAAATGGTCACCAATTTGAGAACATTTGGGCATGCAGAAAAGGGAGCATAGCCCACGGGGTGTCCACAAGAGAGATTTGGCCCATGTGTTTTTAGACAGTTCCCCACCTTTGGTTTAACCCAACAGGCCTATCCTAGTTGTATTAAAGCCATTTAGCAAAATTAGGGTAAACACATCTATCATCCAAATTTGGTATCTTTACTTTTTCTTACCTTGCATGCTGAGGTGATAATAGTTTTGGCGTTATTGCAGGCGACACAAAAAATTTCATAGCCGTGGCCGTACCTAAAATGATCAAGGAAAGGAGGTAGAGAAAAGACAAGAAATCCTTAACTGTTAAAGTCATTCAAAATATTAAAGTTATATAAATACCAAAGAATATTTTCTGTACTGATCACGATATACACACATATATTAAGAAAGAGGGTGGGTGAACAAAGTTGAACATCTCTTAGCCAGAATAACAAAATCTCAGTCACCCAAAATCCACTTTTGATAGCAGGGAGCTTTGAAATGGTTGAAGAGAAGCTCTCCGAAGGTTTAGATGCTCTTACTGCTTATTTCAGGGAAAACTAGCTGATTCCTAATCCATCCAAAACACATCTTAAGAACAGGTAAGCATCTCGACC